TTCCTTCCTCCAGCCTTCCTCTCTTGTCTCCAGGGTCTGGAATTCCTCAGGACTGGCCTTAGCAGTGAAGACTGAAGCAAAAAAGGCATTCAGCAGCTCTGCCTTCTGTATATCCTTCGTCAGCAGGACACCCGCCCCTTTCAGCATTTTCCCTATGGCCCACGTTTTCCCTAGTCTTCCTTTTGCTACTGCTGTATTTAAAGAAGCCCTTCTTGTTGTCCTCGACATCTCTTGCCAGATCTAAATGGGCCTTAGCCTTCCTCATTGCATCCCTGCATGCTCTAACACACTCTGTTAGCTAGCACAGGTGTTGGTAAGATGGAATTTTCAGTTTTCTGATACTAGTTATATGTAGTTTAGACCAATTTCAGACTTGTTTTCTGAAATGGTGTTGGTTAGCAATCAAAACAAGCCTTATACAGAAAGAAACCAAACTATTAACATATTTGTATTTTTAAAGACTGGAAGTTTTCCTTTTTTTTTTTTTTTTCCAGTCTTAATTCACAAGACAATTAATCTGTGGTGCAGGCTAGCCAGTTTAGAAACATCATTATTGACCTAAATTTCTCCCACAGCTTGTCCAACAAATGCTTTAGGTATTGTTCATGGTATCCAAGGGACCCTTGATATAGCAGAAAAGAACAAAGGAATGGCTCAGATGATTGGAATTAAAAGTTATAGGCTTCTGGAGACTGTGAAATACTGTGAAATTGCTAATACTTATAGAAACATGCATTCATTCAGTTACTCGGTCGAGTTCTCTGAAATTGTATGTTTATTGATTCTGAAACTCTAAAGTGTGCTTTCAAAAAATTCATATAATCAACAGATGTTTAAACTCAGAAATCAAAAACACATGTATATCATTAGCAATGTTCTAATTGTCTTAAAACCCCTCAAACTGTAGTAGATCTACTAAATGTCATTCAGAGGTGAAATGGACACTTGAATTCAACTTGGCAGGCTACAGTTAGAATTTAAAAAAAAATAAAAAGCCATGTTTTTGTGTGTGTGTGTGTGTCTGTCCCACTGGATGTTTTTCAAGAATGTCCTTTTGGATGTCTTCATTAAATCCAGACTTGAACCAGCGGTATTCTGAGGAAAAAGCTTGTCTTTTATGTCTGTTCAGCCCATGCTGTACCTGTGATACAGTGGGGAGGAGCTTTCTGTTGGTGGACTTGAAGTACAATATGGGAAGGACCTTTTTTTTCCTCTACAGTGGCTAGGATATAAAGTCTTTTTATATAGTTATTTTTAAATCTTGAAAGTACACTTCTAGAAATGAATTCCAGCATAACTTGCTCGTGTTTGACTACATAAAACCTTTCGTTTGTATATAAATATTGCTGTTATAACTATTCACAAAGTACTAAGTATACTCAATCCGTTTTGTTAATTTTGTAGTGATGTGTCACATTACTGAAGTCATTCAAAGCAGTTTAGACACAATATCAAATGAAAGCTTGATATTCTTGTACAATGCAAATGGTATCTTATTTGAACTCCGTAGCAGAAGTGTAAAGTGACTAACAAAGTCAAGCTCCCCCCTCTCCCTTCCCCGTAAGCTCAGTACAGATTGCATTCTTAGAAACTTCCCATGCGGTCTTCCTTGTTCAAGCCGCGCTTTGTGGCATTTTACAGATGAGGTTATTTCATTTCCTTCAGTGAATTCTTGACTGCTTAGCTAATCCCAATCACCTTTAAAATTTTTCGTACACATCGTTAAATGTTCAGTGTTCCCAAGGTTTTTTTTTTTTTTTTTTTTTTTTTAACTCTACCTAAATACTAATACATTTGGAAAACCCCAAATTCATCTGATACTTACTGCTGTAATTGAACTCTGCTGGATTTAATGTTTTCATTGTAACTGTTTTGAGCCACTAGAGGTCATGACTCTAGTTTGGGAGCTGCTCATCTTGTGAAACTAACAGTAGTTACAGATAGTAATTTGGAAGAGCTTTATTATTATGGATAGACTACTCCCAAGTTTAAAACAGTAATCTAGGAATTAATTTTAACCTGCATCTTTTCCAGTTCTCATTCTGTTTTCTGATTGCCAACACATAGATGTATATTCTGGCCTATGAAGTCAGTTTTTCTTTCAAATTTGCAACTAAAACTAATAGTATTTGTTTATTGGAATCCTGTTTACTTGCTACTGACTGTGTTCATCTTGCAGAAGCCATGCCAATTTTAAGTCTTCTAACAGTATTCAGATATTTGGAAGAAGATACATGTCAAAATAAAAATGGGTTGTTGACAATTAAAGGCTCCCAGAAGAGTACTGTATAATGTCTAAACCCAAATGTAATTTGGCTTTCTCTTAAAAATGTTTTATTTGATGATCTAGAAAATATACTCATCCTTTAGACAACACTTGAAAATGTTTTCTGTGGTGTTTGAGTGAATTTGCAAATTTTTTTTCCCCCTTTGACATTTTAAATATATTAACACAGGTTTCATGCATACCCAACAATGGTTAAGAGATGCAAATTGAAGTTTGTTTTGAATACAAAGTGGTAGTCCAGTAACGTTGTAAAATCCAAAACTTGATTATAGACTGATTAAGTTTACTGATATTTTTGCATTTTTTTAAATTGTGAGTTTTGAAAGCCTTCATACACAATTAGTACTATTGCATTGCTTGTCTAAAACTAGGTTTTAAAAGAGGACTAGTGGTGGCATTGGAGCAGTCCTTAGCTAATAAAGTCAGCTTAAGTGTCTTTGTTTGAAATAGTTAAGATATGTATGGAGCATGATGGAGAGTATTTGAAGACATCTTTGGAGGGAGTTTCTGGTTCCTAATGACTAAATATTGGGTTTGTGATGGCTTATTGCAGAATCTCTTTTCTGCTTTTGGGGAATGCTCTCCAAAATATAAAAGGTTTTGTATGTGTATATACCTTTTAAAGATTTTGGGATATTTAAACAAATTATAATGGGCAGTTTTTACTGACAGCTGTTAAAAGCCAAAAGTGTTGGGTACTTCATTAGACATTGTGACCAGGCCTTTCGGGTTTCACGCGGAGTGGTAACTATTAACTAGCCTTTATCCACTGAAATGTAATACACTTTTTGATAGTTCCAAGACAAACTGTTAAGAGTCTCAAGGTTAACTCGTCTGTCTTGTTGATAGGTTGCTTTTCTCTATACTGCTCCCTATGTCAAATAACTCTTCCCCTTTCTTCTCAAAGGTGTTTGTTCGTTTAACTAAACAAAATGCGTATGCCAGATGTTCTGGGTTTGAACTGGCTTGTTGTCAGTTTATTACTCTGCAAGTTGTTGATCAGACATAAAAATGCTATAAAGCAGAAAATTCCTTACCTTCAAGCCATGTTGCCTATTACCACGTTTCCAGAGAGATGTTTTTTATCATCAAGCTAATTTTTGAGCCAGCTTTTTGTAGCATTCGGTTTTAGGCGCACGCGTGTGTATTTGTATTTGTTTTTATTTAGTTCATCCATGTGGAACGGGGCTTTGGTTTCCTAGCCTTGAGTGTTTTTCGTTTTTCTTTTTTGTTAATGGTTGTGATTGTCTCAAAACACGTTTTAATGTAAGCTGAAAGACTTGAAACGTTCTTTGATTGTGCCTTGCAGTTAGCTAAATCTAGTTGCTCTATTGTTCAGTGGGAACAGAACTCACTAGGTGGCGATATAGTATAGCTATAAACAGCATTATTAAAAGGCAAACTGAGTGCAATTAAATAAGTTAGCAGATATCAGTCACTTATAGTTTGGGGACAGAAGCATTAACCATAGGGGTGTCAGTTTTGTTTCCTCTTCTGTAATTTAATTGAATAAGATTCTTGTAAGAGAAGTGTCAAGAAGTTAAATTTCTGCATAGTTGTTTATTATACCAAAGAAAATGCTAAGCTCAGAGGCACCTTTTATGTTTTGAGGCTTTTTTTCAGAGATGAATAATACCAAAGTGGTTGTGTTGCTTAACTCTCAAGGTTGTAGCAGTGTCCCTTCTCCACACGTGAACGTGAAAAAAGATTTATGTATTGGACAAACTAAGTATTGTGAAGGAGTATTTTAGCGATCTTAGAGCAACGGGTGGAAGGACCAAAGAATTTTGTCTTTGCAAATTTTAATGCCTATCATTTAGTCCAGCATTGACTGTTTGTTAAATGTTAAAGATTGTTGTTGTTGTTGTTTTCTTTTCAAAAGTTACTGTTACGTGACTATAACCTAATTCTCAGAAGTACGCTGTGGTCCTTTGAAAAGCTATTCTCATGATCTTGAGTTTGTGAAAGGCCATTGTATCGATTCAAAGACTAGAGAGGCAGAGGCTAGAACACCCAGTGAGCGCGTGCACAGGCTGCGAGCGGGTCTGCGGACCCAGGCTTCTCAAGCACAGACCATTGTGTGTATTGCTTTAGCTAGCTGCTATTGTCAGAGTGAGTGGGGAGGAAGGTTGTAATTAGGTATCCATGTAGGCTGAACCCGCCATTTTACTAAGCTCTGCTGGAGTAGGTCCTTGTAAGGGAGATGGCAGGAGGCTGGGAGAGCATGAAATGGCAGCCGACTAGCAGTAATCCGGCCATATGCACCCTACAGGAAGCCACTGTTTTGCACAGCTTCTGAATCCGCCCGTCCCCTCTGGATTGGAGACGGCGGTAGGAAAGATGCAGTTTGCAGGAAAAACTGTTTTGGCTTTATCTTTCCCTTTCTGCTAGGTAGAAGATGAAGTCTAAGGAAAGCAACTGTGATAGTGGTTAGCACTGTGCTCGTTTAAAAAGGGATTGCGTGTCACGTTACTTCAGCGCCCTGGCGCAGTCCTGTAACACTGCCGGCGAACGGGCTGGGGGACGGAGACGAGCTGTTCGCCACAGTGGGGCACTAGTAACCAGTCTGAATAAAACAAGTTCACGGCTTGCCCTTCTGACTGGAAATAGCGTATTTTGTACTTATGCTTTCATAGCTTGCAGATCTCATGTTCCTGTCCCTGTTTCTCTTGCCTCTTGCAGGCAATGGAGCATGCAAATGGTATGGAGCTGGATGGCAGGAGGATTCGGGTGGATTACTCAATCACCAAGAGAGCACATACACCCACTCCAGGCATCTATATGGGCAGGCCAACACAGTAAGAAATTCACTCTTTTGCTTTTAATTAAACTATAGCTGATTTAAACAAAGTTTAAAGTCTGGTTGAAGAAATTGATCTACAGACACTTAATAGTTTTTCTGAAATTTTAGAGTTCTGCTAATTCTATTTTATCACAAAGTATTTATGAAAATTATTCGTTATTGTGATTCACAAATCCTACTGGAGTTTATTGTATCTTCACTTGTCAAAGTTTACTGAAGGAATTATTTCAAAATTTTTGTATCTGTTGTAGCTAAGACACATCTAGATTACTGAAGGTATTAATATACCCATTTGTCTTTGATTTTGGTGGGAGGTAAGCTCAAATCCCCAGTGGATTTTTTATGAAGGTGCTTTTCTTTAAATGTTTCATTATTAGATTATTTTATGGCATAGTCTTAAGTGTTTGTTTATGAGAACACTGGAAAAAAAGCTCCTACATAATTTAAATCAAGATGAAGAATAGATGCCTAACTCCCTTTCCCCCCCCTCCCCCCCCCAACAGCAGTGGAAGAGGTGGTGGTGGAGGAGCAGGTCGTCGCCGTGACTCTTACTATGATAGGGGCTATGACAGAGGATATGACAGATATGAAGAATATGACTACAGATACAGGTACTTAATTTTCAGTTTGTTTCTGTAAGAACAGTGGATTTGTGGGAAAACTGAGAAGTTAGGTGACAGAAAAATGTTATTCCATCCGTAGCAAGATTCTGCATAAGTATATGCTGTGTGTTCGCATCTCCTTGTGTTATGTTTTGTAGGATTAAAGTGGTCCCAATCTTCAAGGTTTCTGTAATTCAGTTAAACAGTAAACAGTTTGGGGAAGGGTCAGTAAGTTTTGTTCCCTGAAGGAGGTAGCGCACTGCCCTACAAATGTAGGGAGCAGAAAGGAAGGGAAAACTTTCCATATTATATATAGAACCAGGGACAGGTAATGAATAGTTTTTGCATGTTTTAAGTACCCTTGACACTTCATAATCATCTCGTTGTTTTGAAGGTTACCTAGTGTCAGAGAAAGTTGTTTAACAAGAGTTGTATGCATTTGTGAAAGTAGCTTGTGTCCTTGCAGGGCTATTAAGAGTTTATTAAATGTTAGCCAGGAATATCTTAACAGTGCAGAACATCAAATGGAGAAATATAAAAACATTTGTTAAATAACTGTAAGCCACAGCCAAATAAAACTGAAATGATTCATGCAGGCCAAGTCTTTCAGTGCTGTTCTGTAGACAGAAGTGATGTGAAGGTCTCTTTCATAATGGATGTTTTGGGGTTTTTCTTTAATTTCCTTTAAAGGAGACGATCACCCTCACCCTATTACAGCAGATACCGATCACGATCAAGATCCCGTTCCTATAGTCCAAGTAAGTAAATGCAAATGAATAAATAGAATCCGGCCCGGCTTAAACCTTGCTGTTACTAGTATTAATTGGTCAGTGGAAGTTATGAATGTGGCAGCAAAACTAGTTTATTTTATTGGACGTTTTCGAGCTGAGTTTGTGTTGTATACAGTTAGTTTATAGTAATGGTGTCGTCTTTTTTTCCAGGGCGCTACTGAAGATCAGAAGAGTACAGCTGAGGACTTGATTTTTAAATATAAAGTTCGGATCTTAGCTTCCCTTTTGCTTTCCCTCCCATTCCTCCCTTCCTTGCCCTCCATCCAGCTCTTTTACAGATCTTTGGTTCATTTAGAATATACATATTTTCAGTTGAAGTATTCCTGTTTTCCATCCCTCTTAATTGTAATACTCTTAAATATTGTAATTGTGGTAGTTTTTGTGTAGTAAAACATCTTAAGCAAAATTAAATAGAAACCCCAAGGTGTTGATACATTTTGGAGGTCATTCTGATTTTGTTTTTAAAACGATTGGACTCTTGACTAATCAAAAGAGAAGAGAGCATTGATATTTTTAAAGCTTGCATGTCATATGTAATATGCACACTCAAATACTTTAATATAAACCTACATTTCCAAGTAACTCGTTAATCTTTCTGTTAAGATGTTTACCTATTACTTTGAGAAACAAGTAACAACTTTGAGCCTTTTCTGTAATGACAAATTTATTTCAATAGTCGTGAACCAGAGGATCTTTTTGTCAGGTAGTTGCTTTGAGTGTAGAATATTTGAGCTAGAGCAAAATTTGATATTTGGTTGACTGGGAAAACAGATTCTTGTACACTGAAAATTAAGGCTGTGTTTTATAGATTAAGCTTCCAAACTGCTACACAGTGGATAACATTTGAAGTTGAAACCATATATGTTTTTTTTTTAATTGTACTCTGTTGAATATTTTCCCTTTAATCAGTGCAGGAGAAAAAAACTATTTATTGAACATAGCAATTAGTTGTATAATTTGCTGTTCATTTAAAGAAAAAACAAAACCTTTTTGGTATTGCAATAATGGTTAAGCAAGTTTTGTTTCCAGTCGTTTTTGGAGTTTGACAATATGGATGGAAAAACCTACAACTACATGTAAACCTTTTTTCCTCAATAAAAGTTAATTCCACTGAGATGAAGTTTCCTGTCTTGTTTTATATGACGTGCCACCTTGGTATATAGGTTAATTTAAAAAAAAAAAAAAAAGGCTAATCATCATATAGGCCGTACAAATAATGAAGTCGACATTTATCTGTCTTTGTAGGAGTCTTGTTTTCCTTGAGAAGCAGGATGCAGTTATGGAATGGCTAAGCAGATTGGATAGTCTTGCTCTTCCTGGTGCCACTTTTGGCACTTACTCGACTCGTGGTGAGATGGTTGAAAGAGAGAAGCGCTGACTTTGTTTAGGTTTCTGGCAAGTTTTACCGTCTGAACTAACTCGCCATGTGGCTGGCTGAATGTTGTTGTTAGCCCAGCAACAGGACTACCTAGCCCTCACAGCCAGCATCGTTTCATCCTGATTCTCAGGGAATGCCACCAGAAGAATTTTCTGCTGATTTAAGTTGCCCAGAACGGTTATGAAGGTAGATGACTGCTAGTGCCTGCTGTGGGGACTGAAAGTTGCGTCGCAGGGACTAGAATTGCCTCTTTTGGAATCTTTCAAATAAATAATTCAGTTACAGCAATAATTTGATTCTGGGTTTCTGGGTGCAGTTTTTCTTGATCTTAGCAAAAGACGGCAAACAGGTGGGTTACTTTCTTACATTGGTGAATTCTTATGCTAACTATAGAGTTTGTCATAATTGTAAGAGAGTACCTATAAGAAACATTCTGTTACCTCTTTCTGAGTGTCCGTTCCAGGGGAGTATTGACAAATGACTTCAGAAGTTGTTTAAAGGATGATATAACATGCCGGGATAAAATAGTGACACAACAGGTTTCTAATTTACGAGTTATGATAACACTTCTTATCCATTATGTGTTATATTCAAATTGTACTTTGTAAACTCTTAGTAAACTGAAAACCAAGGATCTGAAATGGATATTCCTCTAGCTAACAAAAGGGTATGAGTTCTGGTCTTCACAGTCAGAGTTGTTTTTCCACAGCATGGACCACATCCCTGAAAATGTAGTTAATTCATGATTTGTCCATTCCTCTGCTGCCACTGCAGTGGTCTTTCCAAGTGAAATAGCATGTTTCTTTTGGCAAAGTTGGTGGCTGGAATCACTGAGGTTCAACATCAAGTAGTATACCAACTCTGACAATTTTATTGGTGATCTAGACAAGATAGGAAACAGTAACAAAATTACTTCCATAAACTGAAGTACCAAAATATAAACACAAGAGAGATGTTAGTGTTTTTAATTCTTTTTTTGTTCTTTTAAAATTGAAGGGGGTAGTATGCTGGAATAGTGAGACAACACGAAGCAAAAAAAAAAAAAAAAAAAGGGAAATAGCCATGGAGCGGGAGGGGATGGGAAAAAAGGCATGTTCAGGCTCAGGGAATTCCAGTAACAGCAAGAAAATGACTATTTTGTAGCTATCACAATAGTCAAGGATTGAGAAGTTCTGTTACTCAACTGTGGAGCGGTTGAACAATCTTGTTGGCTGGAAGCTAAAGCCCAAAAGAGGGGTGTCTGCTTAGTTTGAGTAAGGGGAAAAGAGGAAGGAAAAAAACCTTTCTGTTTAGGGTTTATTCAAGTAATCTTAAAATCACTAGTTGTATAAAGTTGTAAGTGCTTATTGTGTGGTACGTTGTGCTTCATTTTCTCTTGCATGATTTTCTGTTTAATGCTTGGAACTGCAGGCCATTTGCTTTTGCATTTAAGGTTTTAGGTTGACAGAAGTGATGCACTGTGTTTGAAGAACAGGTAAATCGGTGATAGGTTCTTACAGTATTTGGACACACTTGTACATGTATTTAACTTATGAATAACTATTAGAATTAAATGATCATTTTTAAAACTCTCAGTCCTGAAACTGGAAGGACAATTTGTAGCTGTTTCTTCACTCATATAATACTTTTGCTGGAACTAAGCTGAGGCCTCAGTGTATTGTCTTTGGTAACTCTTATAGCCTGCATTCTCCAAGGATGAGAGCAATTCTTTCTGCTTTGTTGTGAACAGATTTAGAGAAACCATTTAATTAAACTACTGATACTTCTATGAAAGAGTAGCCTGGGTAACTCTTCATACTATCTCATTAAACACAGCTAGTTATGCAGGTACCTGCTTTATCTAAAACTAAATAAAAATATAAAAACAACTAGAGAGAGAGTAAGCTTAATCAGAACTTCGGTCATATACAGAAGTTTTTCAACAAAGTAAAAATAAAAAGTTACCCTAAATAACAAAATAGAGCGATAACTTTAGGCTGGTACATGGTAAGTTTCAGTTCACAACTGAATTTAGAAAAACCCTTCTGTTCATCTAGGTTTCTGTATAGCCTTAATTCTAGGCCAGCACGTAGAACACAAGATAATAGTTGTTTTTAAACATACTGTGTTTCCAGTGATTAAAAAGAAGTGGTTACATGATTACTTTTTAAGCTTGAGTAGTTACTTCTGCATTGTAATTTTTTTTTTCTTTTTTTTTGGTGGAGTCTTCCATCTGTGAAGAAGTCCCATGCATCAGGCATCACAAATAGGTAGGGAACAATTCTGGTCGCCAAGAAGCGGTATTAGTGTAAATACTGCACAAGCCCAAGTTGTGATTCCAACCTCACCTTCCTTTCAGTACTACATTAGGAGCCAGGGTACAGATTCTCCAAACACCACCTCAAACTCAGTAATTTGTGACTTGTCAAAACTTTCAGACTGAATTTTCTTAAGAATCACTCCAATAATGTATGGAATACAACATCATGAGATAAGGCACAAGATAGCCTTCCAAAATATTTCAGTATCTTTAGGCTTTCAAGATTTATCTTAAGGGACTATCAGAAAATTCCTAATGGTACATTCAAATATATCACTTGTATAGATCTTTATTTGCTTTAAAAGAGGGGGGGGGGGAATCTAAAGTAAATATAAACTCTGTAGGGTAGAGCAAAGGGTCAGCTCTGTGTAGAGGCTGGTCCTGCAAATCTGTAGATCAAAGAGCTGTGGGCTGAGCCCCTCTTGCATGGCTCCACTTCTACTCAGGTTCTCAGCACTACCATAACTAGCTAATCTTTTAGTGTTTTGGATCGTGGATCCAAGGTCGCAAAGAGGAGATACTTGTTTACAGTATTGCTTTAAACCTATAAACTGATCTTCTCTATTCCATGGTTGAAACCTTGAAACTCATGAAGATGAAGAGGGCCTAAAGGACAGCTGAAGGTAAATGGTGTTTATACCATATACAGTGACAACACTTAATAATTTGCAATAGCTCTCTTACATTTATAGCTTCTATGGAAACATATGCAACTCTCATGGCAATTCATACAGGAAACAAGGATTGCCAAATAGTTTTCACTAAAACACAGTGGAAGAGAGGTGATCCCTTTATACTGGCAAACCAGGTCTTTATATGAATACTATATAGTGTCTAATCTCACAACGGATAACAAAATTCTTTCATCAGAGTGAATTCAACTAGCTTAATAGCTACTTAACATGCACTGCTGGGATTTTTGACATGATCCGGGCTGTAGTAAAATGGCTACAGAATGGAGAATTTTCTCAGGAGCTACCATCTTCTGCTTGTGGAGTGTCACGGTCTAATGTGCTTTCCTAATGCTTCTGTTTCTCTTTGCCTACCCCTTGTTCTAGATGACAGTTTTTTTTCTTCCTTCTTCAGTCTACTGGAGTTGGTGCAGGGTCGGGAGAGAGGAATAAAGTTTCAAGAGCAAAAAGACAATCTGTTTCACATTGAAAAATCCCACATCCAAAACCCCAGTTACTTTACAGTTGAATTGATCCTGGCTGAGGACCATCTCTTTCATGAGCAACTGCTAATTTAGATTTCTACATTACAGCTTTAATGATATTGTGCAGTAGATGTTTAGACGCTTGAGGAAATGGTTTTGATTTCAAAAAAAAAAAAAAAAAGGAATTTTTAATACACCATCACAGAAGTCTTCAGTAGGACTAAAGGATTTGTATAATTCCACAGGGTATGAACACCTCTAACAGTTCTTCTTCAAAACAATTGATTATTTTCAGAGGAAGATTAATTGCAGGTAATAAAACTTCCCCTTAACAGAGAAGTGGGTCTTCACTGCCTCCTGCCCTGGCTGGTCCAGGGTTGCTGCTCTGAACCCCCCTGACTCTCCTGGGCTTTCTTCTGCCCATGCCATGTGGGAATAGTGCACTGAATGCTCTGTTCTCATAGACTGGAAGCTCAAAAAGCAGGGAAAACATTTTAACCTGCACTTAACTTTTTTAAGGCCTTTCCTCACAAATTGGACAGCCTCTTTTCTTCTCCATGAACTGTATCTGGATAATCAGGAACATCTCCAAATTAACACAGCTTTAAAAAAAAAAAAAAAGTGTTATTTGCCAAGCTGAGGACGAGCTTCAAGCTTGTGTTGAGTTATCGAGGTATCCTGCATGTGTTTACAGTAAGTACAAGTAATAATTAAGTGGCCAATCCAGAATCTGCTTGAGCGGTGATGGCAGCCTGAACAACCACAACAGGCTCCTAGCTACTGCCGACCTCCCAGCTGCATCTCTGTGCTCCTGCAGCGGGGACCTGGTTGCCAGCACCCCTTCAGCTGGCTCTCCCGTGGTCTGTTTCATGTCCTTAAACTTGTTGCTGGTGCTTGAGGGAAAAGGTAGCAAGAGCAAAGCTTCACTAAAACCAAAAATCCAGTTTTGGTCTCTGACACATATTGAACACAAAATGTAGGTGTTTTTTCTTGTTCAAAAATAAAACCACCTCATTTCAAAATGTGGATGATTTCTAAATAGCCTTTTATACACAGTGTTTATCTTCTGTCTATTGAAGGCTGGAATGGATGACATGCAGCAACCACTTTGAAGATTTTGTAGAAAGGAGACAATAAAAATACTCAGAATGTAATAAGATGAAACCTTATTAGAGTTAATAACTGCAGTAAACATCAGCATGAGTAAGAATACTCCCTGGAGAGGAAGGTTCACGTTGGGATAAAGTCACCTAGGTTGCTGGGAACGTAGGAGGGCTGGAT